TGGGATAACTGATAACACTGGGATAACAACTGGGATAACTGCTGGGAAGATACCTGAAAATAATTGGTTCTGGCTTATTTGGTAAGGTATCCCACATGGAAGTTCTCACACCCTTCAGTGAGTTATTTTTGTAAAGTAACATCATGCAAACTAGATCTGGGCAGAGGTAGTTCAGGCACAAATCTCTTGCACTGTCGTAAATGGCCATAAAAGTTATGATGTATACTCAGAGGCAGGTTAATGTAGCACTGGAGAAAATAGAAGCCATTACTACTGGACAATCTCCAGTTATGACACAGAAGATAAATGGTGCTGTTACAACAGATGTACTGACAACAAAATACCTGCTGGCAGGGGAGAACAGCAGAGCATAGTTCAGCTACCTACAGGCAATTACCCATTACCTGAAGTAATGTTTATTTTTAATTTAAATCTGACATGGATAGTATTTCCTACATGTACTGCTAGATAAAGTGACATAATCCAATTTAGTGGAAGTTTTGTATTTTACTCTCCTTGCACTTAGGAGCTACCCAATTTTTGCCGCTGTTCAGATTCGTGTCACTGTGTTACAGGCAGTGCACAGAGAGGGGATGAAGCTTACACCTTCATTCCTCATAACCTTGTGAGGGAAATCCGGTTGTGTTAGTAAATGATTACGGAATGGGTGAAGGATGGAAACAGAGCCTTTGTGTCAGACTTTGAGAGCAGACCTTTCCACAGCACACAGAAGAAGTTGCTTCTAAAACAGAGGTGTTTTTCAGTCTCTGGTAGCCAATAGTGTTCGCTTTTCATTGTTGCCAAGAGCTGAAGCACACTATCTAACATAAACATTAGTGGAAGAAGTTTAAGCTTGCCAGTTTGACCTCATAATCCCATCCCAGTAAGCCCACCCCAGCTGCAGGGATGGTTCTGGCTGCTCGGCTAACAAGTAGGAAGCTGTCACACTGCTCAGTCACATTCAGTCAGCGTCCTTAAACAACGGTACCATACATCAACAAACTCCCAATAAAATATTTTACATCTCTCTTCCACCTCGCTTATCTGGTTTTATATGAGAGAGCTGAGCAAACAGCTACAGAAATGGGTGCAGATCATCCTTTTGGGTCATTCATGAAGTTACTTAGTAAAGACAGTTTCCTGCAGGGAGCAAATTTGACAATGATTTGAGCTTTCACATTCACTGGAGCTAGTTGCTCCCTGTAAAAATCTGTTTTCCTATTAAAGTTGGTTCAGACTCAGAGATACATAGATGTGTGGGGGATTGCAGTGCTGAGCAGCGTTACAGGTCAGTGTAGGGATAGCTGCAAGAAGATAAAGTTGCAAATTTCAGACAAACTGCCCAGTTATTGCTGTCCAGAAGAGTTGAGAGTAACCTCTAAATGGATTCTTTCCATACAATGCCAGTGACTGATTGTGACAATTGACTTGAAAGTCTCACACGCAGTAAAAGGCGCTGCAATATGAGTGATCAAAAATGAGAACTCTCTTTGTTGTTTAAAGTGATCTTATTCTGTGTGTGTAAAACTTCGGTAGGACTTCATGCTTTCCACCTAACAGGCCTACAGAAAGAGTTTAACTGAAGGCTACTGTTGCTGTCCTAGCATTTTACTTAGAAAACTATTTCACATGCACATTGCCTACATTTCCTGACAGAGCACTTTGCTCCTACCTGGACTACCCCTGGGTTGACAAAATAAGCCACAGCTCTTAGTTCTGGACGCATATGCAGCCACCACCACCAAGGCTATAATTAATGCTGATTTGCCTGTGTGAAGTCAGACAGTTGCATATACAGCCATCATATAATAAAGAGTTCTAGCCACTGGCAGCCCAGGCTGACTCTGAACTGGTGACCTGACAGTGAAAAGGCTCTGTTGCTCGATATCCATTCTGAAATCATTCAGAACTTTGATAACTCTTGATTATTTTTTTTTTTTTTTTGGCAACTGTCTGGTTGTTCCTCCTCAGGTCTGCTGTGTCAGTCATTTAACCTTGAATATACATTAAGCCTCATGGGGAGTCCATTATGTACAGGATTTGGAATGCAGAATTGGACTGAATCAGATCTGGTGCTCTCAGAGTGTTTTCCTTGACTGCTCAGCAGCTCTCCTCCTTGCCTCAGCCATTTCCCTTTTTACAGACTCCTGATAATGGGCCTTGGCTTGGTATTTCTTTTATTCCATTCTCCTTTTGTGTTCTTCGTGTCAGACATGCAGTGTGTGATGTATCCCTGTCTTTCAGGCTTCTAACAGTTCTGAACAGTGTGCCATTCTTGCAGTTTCATTTCTTTTATTTAGGGTGGAAAAAATAAACTGATGCAATAAGCTTGTTGAAAAATTCACACTTCAGACATAGCTGTTTGCTTGACATTATGCCTGTTATGCCAATTTCTTGCTGAAGGATCTGTGTAGTAATAAAACTTTTCTGACTTCATGGACTCTTCATTGTTGACATTAAAAATTATGTGCATTGTAGCAAGATTTGGACACTGGCACTTCCGTTGTTTCAGAAACTGCATGAAGAAACTCTTAATAAGTTGACAAACATGGTAGACTTGGGAGGAGGAGAGTTTGACTAAACCAAAGCAACTGTTCTCAGACCCTTTGTCACATGCTCGTATGTCATATGTTGACACTAAAGATAGGACCAAGGATTTTACCCTCTTGGAAAACTGGGTTGCAAGGCACTCTGCTTTTTCATGTGGACATCTAATTGTTAGAGCTGGGGAAATCTTCAGTCTCACTATGTCGTCTTGTAAGAAGAGGAGAAGCTAAAAGAGAAATGCAGAACGTAAGGTTAACTAGTTATTTTAAGAAATGACCTCTGGCCTCCATTTCTCATTCATTGGTAGTTGGCTCAACCAAAAAGTAGGAGGGGATAGAATGAAATACATGCCACAAGATGGTTGGGATTGACTTCAGGCTCAATATTCAGCTTTGAAAAATTAGGTTTTTTTTCAGAGTGCTAAGATATTTAAAGTCCAGATGATCTTCTCCATTCTTTTTGGGTGTGCATATTAACTCTTTATATTCTTCACTTAAGGAAATTGACTTAAATTGCTGCTTTTATCTTTGTTTAATTATTTTGCTAGCTAACAGTTTTTACTATCTTTGAGGACTAACACTGGCACAAGCTGTGTGTTTTCTAGAATTTCTTAGAGATATAAACTGACTTAAGTTAGCAGATAATTTGAATGTATTTTTTTTATTAAAACTGTCAATATTTCTCAATGGAAAAAAGCATCAGTTCACTGTCACCAACAGATGGTAGGATTAATGCACAAGTTATCTACTTGCACTGCAGTGTAAAAACACAGCCTTCTGAACATTATTTTTATGTGTTCTGAAGCTTTTGGAAGTTTTTTAAAGCTCTCTTAGACAAAAAGTGATGGCTCCTCAGGGGTGTGTTTTCAGCATCAGAACCAACTGTCCTTTAACTGAAAGAGACAATATGGGATACGCCCTCTTTGCTGAAGATGACAGGCCAGGATTTGTTTTCTGTTCATAAGCAAAGAGTTGGAGAAGGAGTTTTTACTGTGTAGCAAGAAATCTTGATGAGCCTTCTTTCTTCAATGTAGGCAGTGCAGTCACAATATGCAGTCACGGAACCAGGGAACTTTGGCTGCAGCAGCCTGGACAAAGGAAATACGTATGTCTCAGAGCATTAAATTTGTGTGGTTTTTTCTCAACCAAACCAGAAATGGAACCACCACTAGAAGCAAACTGAACAGGGTCTTTGCCCAGGATCAGTTGCCCATCACATCAGTCCTTGTTGTTGGTATCTGCTGAGGTCACAGTGAGCAGCCCTGTGCTGCCAACCAGGCTCATGTCACAGAGGACATAGTGTGGAGGTGATGACCCTGTTGTTTGCTCCGGGTGGCCTGTGCCCGGTTCCCTCCTTGTCCCTCCTGTGCATGGTGCTTTGAAGCTTCAGCAGATGGCCATGCACACTATGCTCAGTTGTACATAAGTTGCCTTAGCCCTTTTTGTCTGACGTCCTCCTTGCCTGGGATCACCCCCTAGCTGTTCCCTGGTATCCCATATTAAGTCCTTATACACTTGCTGAGTGTGAGGGTGAGGTAGAATTTGTCTGTTTTGGTGGAAAGCAATAACAGTGACCTCAGCAGCATTAAAAAATCAGTTTCCCAAGGCATGGTGCATGGAGACAGTCAGATTGGCTGATGTCCTGGTATCATGGATGTAAAAGCAAGTGTGAGATTCCTGTTACAGCCAGGGATTGAGTGCAAGCTTGATTAAGTCAGAACATATACTCAGTGTGAGTGGCTGTTGGAGAAGAAAGCAAAAGCTTTATGGAACATTGGATTGAGTTTTCAGCAGCTCCCTGTGCTGTGTGAAGTTGGAAAGGAATGCAGAAAGTTTTGTTGTGGGGAGTGTGTCTGCATGCAAACTTAAACACAAAATTGTTTTTTTCCTCAGGACAATTTTGATTAGGCTTCCTGGCAGAGAAAGTTCAGGACATTTTTCTGTAGAATAACTGAAATCAGGATATGCCATCTAGTGAAAACTAAAGCCACCTCATTGGCTCTTCCTCTTTCTTGCTTCACCTTACAAGCTCCTCATTGAACTCTGTTTAATTCCCAGCAGAAGTTTGACAGGGCTTTATGTTAAAGAAATTTTCCATGGAGCAGCTTTGTTTTACATATTATGTGTGATCAAATGCAGTAGTTTTGCCTACACTTGCATTGGAGAAATACTGATACAGTAACTTGAGCTGCTTTTGGAAACCTTTACATTTGAACTAAAACTGTGACATAATGTACTTGGTGGTTTTATTTCTCTTTTTAGGTAAGATAATGTGCTGTTAAGTTAATTGATTTGTTAACGACTTAGTAGAAAAAAATGTGGGTTCTGAAAAAAAAAAAAGTTCTGAAAAGAGAAGAATTGCATCAAATGAACCCTTCTACATCTTTTTCAAATACAGGTGATATATTTTCTGTTTTCTTTACGTATAATAAAACAACTGACATTATTTCTTAGGAGCATCCCTTACTTGGACAGCCATTTTTTGTTTTACACCCCTGCCGGACTAATGAGTTCATGTGCTCTATAATGGCCGCTTCACAAAAAGACAACAGGTGAGAAACACTACTGTGCTTTGCAAGGCTTATGTGCTGTAGAGTTAGCCGGGAAGTGGAATTGGGCAGAACAGCTTCCTTGGTCCAAATGGAAGGGGATTCTGTATGGTCACTTCACTGCTGAAAATTATAACGCACTTGTTATGGCTCAAGTGAAGGAGTAGCTCCATTTTAAAATACCTTATTACTGTCAACTATATCTGTAATCCAGGAAAAGCTGAGTAAGAGCTTTATGGATTCTTTAGTGTCTTTTTTTTTTTTCTAGATACAGAAATTACATTGTATTGTGGCTAAGTACAGTAGGCCCAGTTGTGGGTCTAAGTTTACCCTTGAGTTACGCAAAGCTGGGACTTGAAGAGAATACAAACGCTGAAATTGATTGAAATTTTATTGAAAGGTAAGAAAAAGTTGCATCACCTCCATCACCTCTTCTTTCTCACATCATCCTCCAAAATTATAAAAAAAATAGATAATTGACAAAAACATTATATTTGCCTCTGGAGCTCTTTGTTCAGTTCATTTAGGACTCAGATTTTGGTATTTTGCTTATACAACTGCCTTGTTACCTTTCATGTTTTGCAATGGAAATTTGCACTGAGAGATATGTTTGGCACAGTGCTGTGACCTTTCCTGTCACAAGGTTCCTGAGAGGGAGATATCTCCCTCTCAGGAGGGAGCAGGTATAAGAGCATATTGTGGCAGACCTTCCAGTTCATGGTTGATGGTGCCATCTATCAAAACTCTGCTGCATTAATTTGAATTTCATCCTTTCTCTTTTTCCTGTTTGATGTCTCCACTTCAGACCCCTGAGCTTGAAGACAGGTAATACACCCATGTAGTAAAGCCACTGCAGACTTTTCTAGAGAAGAAACAAACACAGACTGAAGGAATTCTGTGTGATTGGTGAGCATTGTAACACTGAAAGATAACTATTCATGGCTCTTTCTTTGGCAAGCACTTGCCTAATTACAGGTGAATCCTTAAGAGTTGGCTGCAGTTCTGATGGCAACTCCCAAACACCACCAATACTTGTTCTCCCTTGTGACAGCACTGACCCTCTGAAGTTGCTCATTTTCTTCCTCTGCTTTACCATGATTATGGCCTTAATAGGGCTTCACACAAATACACATACCTGGATACAGAGTTGAAATGCTGTGTTTGAGCCTACTTTCACCTTTCTACTGCATAGTGTGTGAGAATATGTACAGAAAGGACTTGCAGAAGAACGTGGCTTAAGATTGCAGCAATCCGTGTATGGGACATTGCCTAGGGACCACCTTCTCTAGCATACGTTGACCCTCATATTCCACATTACACACATAAAATGTCCAAATCCCAGGATTATATTGTTACTGAGCAGGTATGGTTATAGGATTCAAGGTGCCTAATGCTATCCTGTGAGAACATCAGGCTTTTACCTGCCTCGGTGCCTCTGAAGGTAGCTTTGCCATACCCTAAGGGAGTAACTGTTGTAGTCAAATTAGTATTTATCATTGTACTAGTAGTTTTCACTTTTTGTCCCTGTCCTGCAATCTTTGCACAAGCATCCCCTGACATCTGTTGAAGTTTGAGCAAGTAGGAATCACACAGTAGTGCAGTCAGTGAGAAACAGACGTAACTTCTGTACAAGCCATCCTGGATTTCTTCCCAGTCACATTTATTTGTAATAAAAAACAGACCACTAGTATGATGGAATTGAAAATTTTACTTTTTATGTTCAGCATTATCTAATGTATGCCACATCATAGCCGGAAATGTAAGATACAACGGTTTTCAAATTGTTTTTTCTTTTTTTTTCTTTTTCTTTTTCTTGATGTTATGATTGGTTGCATATTTTAAATTTGCATCATATGTTTTTAGTGGATTGAAATAAAGCCCTTGAAATTTCATTGGTGCAGCACTGTTTTCAAACCCATTGAAATTAATAATAAAACCACCTCATTTATCCTATTCTGGGTCATACCAATCAGAAAAGGCATTTTTCCATGTAAGATTTGTAAAATATGGACTTCCATTCACGTACTATGGCAACAGCTACATTATCTTTCTTAACACTTTCGGTAACATGTGCTTGATGGTTACATCCATAGCCCATTTTGAAACTTAAGATTTGTGCAGGAGGAAAAACAAAAAGCAGATAACAGCAGTTGTAAAAGCTGTTAAATGTTCATCCCTACTCTGTCATCTTCATCTGCAGTGCAGTAGAACAAAAGAATGAAAGCAGTCAGCTGCTCTCAGCTGCTCCACATTGCTGACTAGCTTCACTGCCTCTGTCCAGCACAGTGCACGTAAGCCCTTTGGATCTTTGTTCCCAGGATAACTGAGAATTTGCCTCAGGTACTGTTATTTCCACGAAGGCCTGAATTAGCTCCTGCTGTCCTTAGGATCAGTGAAGTGGAAAGGACTGATGGAATTTTTCATATCAACCATAAACACTGAATGCTGCGTCAGTGTACCTGAGAGTCACATGTGCTCATTTTCCTGTATCATCCACATATGTTACCTTGTACTCTGCTGATGATAAATTACTGGGAAGAAATTCCACTTTTAAGGACTATGAAGAAAAGATGTAATCCTGAATATAGAGTGGTATTGAAACAACTTACAGATGTCATTTTAGTATTAATGTTTCCAAATACCAGACAAGAGCTGTTAGCTGATTGCTTTATCAGGTATGATAGAGAGGTATGAGAACAGCCTTGAACACCCCTGACTATTGTTTTCAGTAGTAATTGTTAGACCTTAAGAAGATTCAACTGCCAAGTTGCTGCTTTGCAGTTTATAAGCATAGTTTTCATAGATGTTTTTTTGAGATCAGCTCTTGCTGTTTCTGCCTCAAAAGCAGAAACTGTGGTACAGTACTACTATTTGAAACAGGCTTTGAGGAATTGGGTTCCCTCATCATCGTTGCCAAGACTGATTATTAGAAGTGTGGTAAGTATTATCTGTGGGATGCTGTTCGTTGGACAATGTAACTAAGCAGAGTGTAATTACAGACAAGGAGAAATAATTACGAAATCTCTTGGAAAATATACCCCAATCACCTTTCCCACTCTGTCAGCCTTCCATTGCACCTTAATATTCTTCCCTTCAATAATGGCAATAAAAAATGAATTTGTGTGCTCTTTGACAGCTTTATCAATGACATGGAGAGTGGGATTGAGTGTAAGTTTGCAGATCACACCAAGCTGAATGGTGGAGTTGATAGACAGAAAGAAGGGATGCTGTCCAAGGAGACTTGAACAGGCTTGAAAAAGTGAACCCATGGAAAATGTAATGAGGCTCAAAAAGTTGTTGCACTTCAGTCACGGTGACCTCAAATATGTGTTCAGTATGGGAGAAGAACTTGAAAGCAGTCCTCAGAGAAGGATTTGAGGGTTCTGGTGGACAAAAAGCAAGACATGAACCAGCAATGTGTGCTTGCTGCCCAGAAGGCCAACTGTATCCTGGGCTGCATCAGCAGTGGGGTAGCCAGAAGGGAGGGGATTGTCCCTCTCTGTTCTGCTGTCATGAGGCCCCATCTGCAGAACTACATCCAGATGTGGGGCACTCAGCACAAGAAAGATGCAGAGCTTCTGGAGCAAGTCCAGAGGAGGGCCATGAAGATGACCAGAGGACTGGAGCACTCTCCCAGAAGTCTAAGGGAGCTGAAGCTTGTTCAACCTGGAGAAGAGAAGGCTCTGGCGAGACCTCAGTGTCACCTTCCAGTATTTGAAGGGAGCTTATGATCATGAGGGAGATGGACTTTTTATACTGTTTGATAGTGATAGGATGAGACCAAATGGCTTCAAACTAAAAGAGAGGGCATTTAGGTTAGATGTTAGGAAGAAATTCTTTATGCAGAGACGGTGAGACCCTGGCATGGTCTGCCCAGAGAAGCTGTGGGTGCCCCATCCCTGGAGGCTCTTAAAGCCAGGTTGGAGGGGGCCCTGGGCAGTGTTACCTTGTGAGTGGCAACCTGCTCATGGCAGGAGGCTGGAACTGTGTGGGCTTTAATGTCCCTTCCAACTCAGACCATTCCAAGATATGATGTATTTTCTTAGACATGAAGGAATTCCTATCAGCCTTTACTTTCTGCATTAATTTATCACTTGTAAACAAAACTGAGGATTATTTGGGCAGAGCATTGCAATTGTACTACACTGAAGATTTCCCTTGTCAGAGAAACTCCAGGCACTTGCTAATGGATGGCTTCATCCATCAGGGTAGTTCTCTGTCAATGGCCTGACAATCACACTCCAGCTTCTAGACATCCTCTGCTGGTAATCACTCTACTTCCTCTGTATCTTAAAACCATTCACTTAGCTGCAAAGTCATAGTTCTTTGCTGTTTCTGAAGCAGTCTCTCTCCTCCTTTCTTCTGATAAAACCTCTCCAAATTCCTCTACAGTGCCTTGACCCTTTTCCCAGCTAGTTGGACATGATGATGATAATAGAGAGCATGAAGTGGATGAGCAAACTGATAGTTCCTTGCTCCACTATAGTTCTTAACCTTTTAAAACCATAAACAACTAAGGAACAGAGCAGTATTATCATCAGTCCTTCGAGTTTCCTTGAAATTTGCCCAAAATACCACCAAACAAAAATTCAGTTAAGTTAGTACAAATGCTCTAAGATTAGATTGAGAGACAAATACAGACTAACCTAAATATTTGGGATTAAGGTGAGCTATCATCGTGTTTTACAGTCTACTTTGTAATGGCTTGAGTAGAGGTAGGCATCTAAGACCCCATTTGCATCTGTGCCTTAATAACTTACAGGATGTTCTACAGGGATTGCATATGTATAGAAATTCTGTTTTATTTCAAAATCAACTTAACTTCTACAGTATTTAGTACAGCCAATCTATTGAAGGCTTTTTGATCTGAACTTGGGTTTTGATTTGCTCAGTTGTTTGTACTTGCTAATCTGGGAAGACATGTTGAGGACCATGGCTTCTGAGACTTCTTTTAAGGGAACAAATTCATACCTGTCCTTAGTTACACGAATCAGCAAGAAAAATGAATTCTGTGTGTTAACTAAGCCAAAAACATGCTCTGCTTTGGAATGCAGTTCCAACCTACATAATTTCTCATTTGTGTCAGAATGATCAGGTTAGAATTTATCCTCCATCTGGTCAGCCAGAAGGTCTGTTGTTGTTTGGTTTTGGTTACTAAAAGAAATGCTTATTGGGTCAAATCACATGCTTGTTTTCACAACAGTCAATGTTGTGCTAGTCAGAGCAGAATATGGTGAAGTAATCAATATCAATTCTTGTTGCAACTCCATGAATTTCAGCAGAACTTCTTCAGTGTCTTTTTTTCTTTTTCTTTTTTTTTTTTTTTTTGCCATTTGCTATGACTACAATTGTACAATTTAATGAGTTTGTTTGGACATCTGAATTTATATTACATAGAATTCCAGCTCCAGCACAAAGGAAAACAATTGCTCTTTCTCCTGAGCTGTGAAATACAATTGTTTCCTCTGAAATACTCTCTTCTAGAGAATATAGCGTGTGATATCAGTATATATTTTTTTAATCACATGTAGGCTTTTAAAAGTGTTTCACAGAATGTAAAAGATTTCTTAGCAATGAATTTGTACCACCCAGAATAAAAAGTGTATGCATAAAGTTCATAGCTGCAAAGCTGCCCTGTTGGTAGCTGAAGTGTTAATTCATAATTCTAGAAAGACAGGCTAATTACAGAGGAGAGGCGTACTAGGAGAGTAGCCCTGAAGAGTGTAGCTTTGGACTGAGTGCTCAGGAGGAGTTAGGACAGTGTTGTAGACGTTACCTTCATGTCTTGAAGTGCCTAAAGAAACCAGCAAACTTTAACTTACTGCTGGAGAGCTTGTTGTAACCATCACCTACTGAAGATGAATTTCAGCTTCAAGTGAGAGAAGAGTTAACTGCTATGTTTGGAAAGAGTGTTATAGAGTCTCACCTTGAACATCTTTTTCCTCCAGCCTGCTAGAAAACAGCATGTGTTCCTGCAGTATTATTTTTCAATATCATTTTTAGTGCAGCACACTAGAGGAAGTTGTGCTGTCTGACACATGGCTGTGTCAGGCTCCAGAGCCATGCATGACAAGCCAGCAGCAAAGGCCAGATAGAGGAAGATAGATAGTATTCAGGTGTCTCATTTCCCAACCTTTGGTGATTCCTGGGATTAGGCTATATACAGAGAAGGATCCCAGTAAGCAGTCATCTGCATCACCAGAGGAATCTCAGTGTTGGGCTTGGAATCCTTGTCGTGGAATCCATCACCTTGCAATGCAGTGGCACAACTTGATGATTCTTGCCTCTGCAAAAAGTGTTGTAGTTAGTGCCACCCCACTTCAGGGGAAGGTAGAGTCCACAGCTCCAGGCTGAGCAGAGGTGGTAAAAGATGTGGCAGCCTGTAGGAACTAACTAGTCTTTCTTTTCTTTGCACCCAATCCATATTAAAGTCATCAATTTTGGTAAATTCCATCCAGGCCTTACTAGGTCAAACAGTGATTCTCCAGGGTCGATAAGGTTCATTCTCCTGCATTCAGCAGTCAGGTATGACTGGCTTCATATGCTTCAAGATTTACATGTCTGCTGTATTAATTGCACAGGTTCACCTCTGATTTCTCTTTTGGAGGATTTGGTTGCATAATACATAGTTCTGGCATTCTTAATTAGGCTTAGAACCACTTTACTAGTGACTGTGATAAAGTCTGGCCTGGCTTATCTTCGTCTGAATTATTTTGTGCAGCTTCCAAGTAACAGAAGTTATTCTTGAGCACTGACAGGTTCCATAGACAGACATCCTAAAAGCATCCTGATGCCCAAATTCTGACCAGATATGCTAAACATATTCATAAAATCAGTGGCAAAATGCAACTCAGAATGTGCAACTTGCTTTAATAACTTAGTGCTTTGCT